TCCCAGCTCGTAACCATTCAGCTAGGCGCCCGAGCCACCTCCCAGCTTGTCACTATTCAGCTAGGCGTCAGAGCCACCTCCCAGCTTGTCACCATTTAGCTAGGCATCAAAGCCACCTCCCAGCTCGTCACCATTCAGCTAGGCATCTGAGTCACCAACCAGCCGGGAGCTTCCAAAACGTGCCTACCGAGGTGACGAGGTGTCTGTAGGCCGAGGTGCTGAGAGTAAAACTAGGCTGTCAAAATTTCACTAACCTGGCGACCTGGAGACCTGCTTTCGCCGATGTGACAACCTACTTCCACCGACCTGGCGATCTGCCTCTACCGCTAACATGGTGACCTAACTTCGCTAACCTGACGACACACATAATTAGCACAGACGAGCCTTGTCAGCGCTGTTTGCGAGGTCACCCCTATAAGTCAAGCCCTTTGTAGCTCTCGCGGGAGTTGGTAGCCAACAGACTGCAATCACCCTTGCGGGGCGAGCCTTTCAAGGTTCCTGTGCGAGTTGGCAACTTACAGTTAGTAGAGCTGCCCCTGCAGGTTGAGCTCCTTGTAGCTTATTGTAGGAGTAAACGACCAGCACCTCCGAGGACTAACACAGAGCAGTCGTGGCACCGACCCCTATTACAGCGACACACGTATTACTAGGGGAAGCCAAACTGCTTTCAGCATCAAGGACCCCTAAGCCGACCTCGGAATATGTTGGTAACAGGATAAAGGACCTACAATAAACCTACTCCCTTCACTGAGCTAATCTCAGCTCGGGAGTGGGGGGCAATTGATAAGGGCAAATTTATCCCTCCACTGACATCATGACACGTGGCATCTCAGAAGAAATAGATGACATCCCAACATCACCTAGGCGATGACTTGCCTTAGCCAAAATGATGGAGTCCCAGCTGGCGACCTGGCAGCCTGCCTCCACTGTTGACCTAGCAACATGCCTCTGCCACCAACCTGGCGACCTACCTCCGCCACCGACCTAGCAACCTGCCTTTACCACCGACTTGGTGGAAGTCTAGGTGACAACCTCGTCCACAACTCAGGGCGGCTAGTAGCACCTCGTCCAGGGCCAACCTGTGGTTCCTCATCAGTACCAGCCGAAGTGACCTCGACATGAGGAGTGACCTCTCTCGAAGGCTTGCCGACCTGATTGAGGTTCAGGTGGCGACCTGTGAGACGTGCTCACCGACCTATACTGCACGCATCTCGTTACTCCCGGGTCTCTCGGAAGTCAGCTCTCACATAGAATGTTCTGGAGTAAACCGAATAAGGCACAAAGACTAGTCTACGTGCACAACTACCTCTAAAGACTTTGGACCAGTTAGGCACGTCTTCCCGGAGATCTCGGATGCAGTGCGTAGATGCCCACACCAAACAATGCCTATATAAAGGCCTTACTTCCAACCTCAAAAGGTAGATGCACAATTTAGTTCTTGCAGCTCTCCAGCTCTCTCACATTTAGCTATCTTAAAAATATTTGATTCGCTGACTTAAGTATCGGAGTGCCCACCCCGGGTAAAGCAACCCAGGCTGGCACTGTTTCCTTGCAGGTCACACCAGTAAACTATGTAGCTCACCACCTTCAGCTAGGGACAGTTTAGCTAGGCGTCAGAGCCACCTCCCAGCTCGTCACCATTCAGCTAGGCATCCGAGCCACCTCCTAGCTCGTCACTATTTAGCTAGGCGTCAGAGCCACCTCCCATCTCGTCACCATTTAGCTAGGCGTCCGAGCCACCTCCCTAGGAATGATAATGAGGCGGGGCACCCCCTCCTCGTCCCCGCCCTAAAGTCACGATACCTTGCCCCGTACCCGCCCCGTCCCTAGTGGCGGGGCGGGGCATCCATTCCCTATCGGGGATGAGGAATCCCCGAATTTTCCTTGCTCTAAGGAAATTACTTAAAAATTATCTATTTTATGGACAATTTATACATAGGATATAGGAATTTGGAGGTATTTTAGAATTGAATTATAATAGTTTAGGGGTAATTCGAAAATAAAATTATGGATCCTAGGATTTTAAAAATTTAGGGAAAACTTAGAGATATTTTAAATATCAATATTAAACCTAGAGTTATTTTACTAATTTACCTTCGGGTTCAGGGCGGGTTCGGGGAATTATATACAAAGCCGATCTCCGCCCCGTACCCGGTTCGAGGAAAAATTATTTTCCCCGTCTCTGCCACATCCTTGTTTAGGGTCAGGGAAAACCCACCCTGTTCGGGGCGGGGCCCCGGTTTTACAGGGGAAATTGCCATCCCTACACCTCCTAGCTCGTCATTATTCAGCTAGGTGTCAGAGCTACCCCCCATCTCGTCACCATTCAGCTAGGCATCAAAGCCACCTCCCAACTCGTCATAATTGAGCTAGGCATCTGAGTCACCAGCCAACTAGGAGCTGCCAAAACGCGCATCATCAGATGGAATGATGGAATTTTGACATAATCCAATTTAAATAAGATGATTTGAATATGATAATCAATTGACTTGATGGATATCAAACTTATATTGTTTAGGCTCAGTTTGGAAGGAGTACAAATACAAAGTATGTATAGTGTAAAACCTTGAATTTTGTATTACTTTGTATGTATTTGTACTGTATATATCTATATTTATACTCCTTGCAGACTGAGGCTTAGTTTATCAAGTTGAATTTGGATATGACTTGATTAGATTTGATAAATATCTAAATGAACAATATTAATATACATATGATATTATAAATTATTTCTTTATTTTATAAAGGACTAGTAACCATGCACGTGCTTTACACATGGTAATTCTAAACGATAATAATCATAGTAATACTATATCCAAAATTTTCTATAAATTTTTATGTATTTTATTTTTTATTTTTATATTTTTGTGTTTTATTATTAATCAAATGTAAATTGCAAAATCCAAATCTAATTGCATAAATGCCTCATCCAATTATGTGATAATCGGATCAAATTGTGAAGTTTCAAGTATCATTGACAAGCCTACCTGGTTGGCTAGCCTCTTCTTTTTGTAGTGTTTTATATTTTTGGTGTATTTTTTTCTTATGCTCATTTATAAAAAAAATATAAGATTTAAATAGAGGGAATTAAATGAGGTGAAAATTAATAGTTTAATTTACAATTTAAAACCTTACGATTAAATAGGGACTAAATTTAAAAATGAGTATTTTAGTCAAAAGAAAGTTTCACAATCTTATTCATATTTTTAATAATAGTGTAAATATAGAATTATAGATGTGTTCAATTATTTTTACAATTTTTTGTATTTTGTGTGTAAAAATAATTGTAATATATCACACTTAATTTTTATTTAATATGATAAATATATGATATTGTACATGTGCCTGAATGCTTTTTTTTGCAAAATTTATGTATTGTTTCAATTATGTATTTTTATATTTTTTTAATTTTTATTACTTATTTATGACAAGTTGTACTATTTATTATCAATTTTTATATTTCATTTTTGGTTAGTTCTAAATTATGTATTTCATTTTTTCATTATCAATAAAAATAATTCTTGTTTATTACACTTATTTTTTTAATTTGATTAATAAAAATATCATAAATGTGTCTAATTTTTTCTATATTTTTTGCAATGTTCTGTATTTATTTATATTTTAAAATTTTTAGTACCTAACTATGGTTTTGTAGGTTCAATAATTTGATTCAGATGGTTGAATTACTTAGCCACCACTTAGATAAAAAATTGTTTTGTTTTTGAGTCTTTTAAATGGGTTTATATTGTTAAAAATATTGACATAGATCTAATTAGTAGCATTTTTAGTGAAAAATAACTTAAAAATATAGGATTTAATACCTTAAATATAAGACTTAATGAGAGGGGATTAAATGAGGTAGAAAGTAATAATTGATGTTACATTTTCAACCCTTACAATTAGAGATGGATTAAATACACAAATATAGGTATTTTAGTAACCATTAAAGCTGTCACTAAAGCTATAATAAAGTGATTTTTATGCCATTTCTCAAACAAAGAAATAAATGATAATTTTAGTCCAAAAAAAATTTTACATTTTATTCACACTTTTATATAGGATATAAATATAATGATTAAAAAATATCAAATCTTATCTAAATTCAGATAATTGAATTAATTGCTGGAATTTGAATATTTAGTTGAATTTCAAATTGATTGGCCTTTGTAATGATCATTGGGAGGGAAAAAAAAAAAGTTAAACGGATTTGAAATTATGGATTCTCAAGCGAATAAAAAGGGCAATTTCCTTGGATACCCTATCCATTGCCATCTCTATGTATTAGGCAAAAGTATATTCTAATTGAAGCATATTTGATCTCTACATATCCACTCTCTTCCATATACATGGGATGAGTAGTTTTTATAGGGTGACAAAGCAAAAAGAGATGAGTGCCCTGTGAATCTTCTGTCTATCAACCAAGGCGACCTTATGAGAAGGCTCAATGTGAATATGTGATCTTAGTATATGTATACGAGGAACAGATAGACACATATAGGAGGAGAATTTGGCTCTTCAAATTTGAAGGCTTGAACTCTCAATAGAGATCTTGCGTGACACATTAGTTCACACAGCCAAGCATCCTGCATAGAGTGTTACATTGGAAAAAACTTCCGTCCCTTTAGATTGTACGTACAATCACTTTTAACAGTGGATGATGAATCCACGCTTCCTTCTTTTTGTTAAGATGTTTGAATGCTGAATGAGGTGACTTCAAATCCACCGTGGAAAGGTGGTTGTACCTACAATTTAATAGTAACCAAAGCTCTCTCGTTACATTGAGTGCATGTAATCTAATGTGTCATGTATTAGGGGGAGCTCTATTGACAACTAGGTTGCCAAGCATCCAACCAAACTTCCTATTAAAGGTGGTTGTACCTACAATTTAATAGGAACCAAAGCTCTCTCGTTACATTGAGTGTATGTAATCTAATGTGTCATGTATTAGGGGGAGCTCTATTGACAAATAGGTTGCCAAGCATCCAACCAAACTTTCTCCATACAAGAGAATTTGAGAGAGAGATTATTGCTGTAAAACGACCAAAGCCATATATCCTTGTGTTTTCTTTCTCGAATTATACATCCATTACAAAGGAAAGAGGAATAGAAAACCTTGCAAGACAAAATTGGCAGATGATTGCATGGATGCCAAATTAATAATCTCTTTCTCCTACATCCTGCATGTCAATAAACCAGAATTAGTACATTTCAATATCTAGGATATTAATACATTTCAATATCTAAGATTAATTCAGGCTAGTTGTAACAGAGACATGGGATCAGACCCCACCTGCACCAGGGTTGAGGGGTTATGAGTTTGGGGATGGGCTATTCCCATTAACCTCCTAGAGCGGAAAAAAAAAAGCTTATACAATTATTATGTGTTTATAATATATAAAGCATATATTTGTTTTGGGTTTTGTGTAAGCCATAAAAGTTAAATTTAATCTACTTGTGCCAATTATTACTGTGATGATACTAACGGGCTTCAACTACAGTAGGCGTGATGAACTACTTATGAAAAATATATAGGATTTCTTACTTGTTAGGACAACTTTTCAAAGGTAATATCTACTCATGACAAACTATAAAATGTATTGGGAAAGACTAACTTTTCAAAATAGTTTCATCTAATAGGTTATCAACGATGTTATCAATACATAAGTACCGAAAGTTCCCTTCCTTATCAACTTGAAATTTCACTTTCATTTTCACCAAAAAAAATCACTTTCATTAATTTCTTTCTCCATTAAAAGAAGAGGCCTCATATAGCTTTGAATTTCAAGTTTCGACCAATGGCAAGGATCCATGTTTCTCCAATGCAAAGAAAGTTTAGGAATCTATGGACAGGTAGAGGGTTCAAAGGGAGAAAGTATGACTCGTAAAAAAAAAAGAAAAGGAAAAAAAGAAAAAGAAAATAAACTTGAAGCACTTATTTGGTAGGAAGATAAAATTTCTATAATATATCAAGTTGATATTATTTAAAAAAATATATACATCATAGCATATGAAAGGATATGAATCACCTGCACTCTTTCCTTTTATTTAGGGCCTGTTTGGTTTGTGAGAATAGAGGTTTAGAATCGGAATTGAAATGGATCATTCCAATTCTAAGTTATTTGTTCTCATTTGAGGGAACAGCCATTCTCTCCCCCTCCTTTGGGAATGACATCCCATTCCAGCTTATTCCAAGTCCAATTCAAGGGATTTTGCTTTTTTATTCCAATTTTATTTCAACTGTACACAAACCAAACGGACCCTTAATTTCTAATATATCATGAGTAAGGGAACATAATTGATGGAAATGCAAGAAAAAGTGTAGGATATTAGATATACGAAGTGATGAAAAGGGATTTATATATAATAAAAATAATAATAATAATATAAAAGATGAAACAGTTAGCTGGTGGTTGTTGATTGCTTACCTCGAAAATATTTGGAAAGACGTCGCAGCGTTTAGGCGTGGTCATGGACAATGACACCTCCGCACAGACTATTTTAATCGGAATTTCATCCATGATTACCCTACCTAAGATTACATTCACCGTGGTTTGCAGCACTACGTCCAAAACCATCTTCTTCTCATCGAAATTTGCTTTCAAAATTGTTCCATCTTTATCGTCAATCACGGATCTCGAAACCCTTGTGTGGACGTTGAGCGTCGTAACATTGTCAGAGGGTTGGGAAAATCCTTGAAGCGTGTCCTGTCCGAGATCAACATCGTCGGATGACACACCCACGGTGATGAGGGGTTCGTAACAAAACCAGAACCTGGAATTTCTGTTATTGGCTACGATTGACAAATCAGTCGAAGCGCTCAAATATGATTTCCCCTCTATTGTTGTGATCAGGTTCAGTTCTGAGACGGAAGCCTTATCGATGCGGAATTCCGGCAATAGATTTGAAAAATAGGATCTCAAAATGAGTCCGGCGGACATAACGATGATGATGAGACAAAGCAGGATGATGATGCATGCTCCTCCACAACACGTGCAACAACACCGCCAGCTTACTTCTCTGCTATGCTTGCCTTCGTCGAGATCGTCCAGTGATTCGGAGAAAGAAACACAATGATCTTTTGGCTTTTCTGAATCATGATGATATTCACCATCTGGCCCTGGAGGCTTCGACAATGGAGAAAACGGAGTTTGCTTTTGGGCTTGAGCGATCTCCGGATCCGCCATTGTCAAACACAGCCTCCCGGTGGAGGAGGGCGATGATGAATATTGAATCCCTAGGCAAGCCTACCTGCTTACCTAGTTCTGTGTTTTTGGTGGATTGATTTCATTATTCTCCTCAGCTATTTATGAGATGTTTGAAAGGAGAAAAACGGAACGATCGAGCTCGGCCACACATCAATTCGTTCCATAAATGGAAAATCTATAACGGCACAACATATTTACCAAAAAAAAAAAAACATATTCCGATATTATATAAAATAGGGAAATTGTCTAAAACTCATCATCAGTTTTCAACATTTTCCTTAAACTCATCACAACTTTTCAAAATGTCAAACTCATCATGTCAGTAGGTTTTTATTTTCCAAAATTCACATTCGTTGGTGCCGTTAATGCTTCTTAATAGAGGTGTCCATGTCAACATAAATAACAATTTTCATGACCAAATTACCCTTGAATGACAAGTTAGAGGAAAAATGGTCTTTTCAGTTTTTAATTTTCTTGTTTTTTTTTACATTTTCTATTTTCTACAATCTATAAATTTTCCTGTAGTTTTTGTTATTTATTTGTAAGTTCTGTGTTTTTCTATATTTTTTTGTGTTTTTTCTACAATTTTTATTTTTTTTTCAATTTCTATAGTTTCTATAATTTGAAAACAATTTTTTATTTTGTTTGCAATTTCTATATTTTTTTTACATTTTTTGTAATTTCTATGTTTTTATGTATTTTATATTTGAAAGTAGTTTTTGAACTTTTTTCCTTTTTTCATGTATAAATATTAAAATGATAATATATTAACACCCGTTAATTTATTTTGTATATATTTTATATTTTTCTATGAAGGTTAAAATAGTAATATATTAACACCTGTTAGTCTGTTTAACGTCAAGTTAGTGACATGGTGAGTTTTAGACATTTTGAAAAGTTGTGGTGAGTTTTAAAATGCAGTTATTATCACATATTGTTTCCTCTTTGGGGGAAATGCTCTGGCCTAGAGGGACAATGAAGCGATATTGATGCATATCCATCCAGTTGGTTATTGTTCAACTGGGAGGTTTCCCTTTATAGCCTGTGATGTAGATGCAGCTGGCCCTGTCCAATCATAGGATTCACACATGTCGCACGGTGCATGCTAGCGGCCCAAGATGGCCACACTCCCCCCATACGAACTCAACCCCTACTTTTCGAGCTCACCTACTTCCAGTCGGTTTCAAGTATAAATATGAGACACTCCCCTCTAGGTAAAGGATCAAATACTTGAGCTTTCTCACTAGCTCTTGATATCCACTCCTCTAGTGACCTTGTCTGGGTGCTCGCACCTCGAACCTCATCCACCCCTCACCCCTTTTGCAGAAATGGCGCCCAGGCCCTCGGCTACCTCGGACATAAGACATAGTGCACCTCGAACTTCGGACCTCGGATCCTCACCACCTCAGTCTCTACTTCTCGGTTGCCTCAGCCTTCGGACCTCGGGCACCTCGGTCTTGCTTGGGATTAGGAGTGAATTGACAGTGTTGTCATCGGCCAATTCGTGCATCAACAGCCTGTTTGCTTTTTGGTAAGTTATTTATCTAGGTAATAATGCATTTATCGGAATAATACTTATTTGTGTAAGTATTTGTCCATTTTTTTTATTTTAGAATTAAATAAGACAAAGACCAATTCAATTATAAAAATTCACTATTATTAAAAGGGGCAAGTTATTTGGGAAAAGTTACTTACCCACTTCAGAGAATCACTTACCAGGTAAGCGATACCTAGGGAAAATAAATTTTTTGTAGACCCCACATAAATATGAAAAAATAACATGGGTTTCTTGGTCAAGGGAACCAAAATCCCATTCGTATACTTTCTCCCCTCTCAAAAAAAAAAAAAAAGAATGAATCCCAAGTGTTTTCTTTATCTTTATCCCCACCTCTCTTATGCTTCTTGAAGCTACAATTTGCATGCATGTCTAAGCTTATAGTTCTCCAATGAACTTAGCCAGTTGCATTATGTTGCCTATTGGATGGTTTTCCATTTGGATACTTGACTTTCGTAGCACTGGCTCTAGAACTACCTCTTATTCTCTAAACCCTTGGCAAATACCCAATACCATGACAGGATGGGCTCCCTAGTGAGCGTGCCCTACACATGCCCCACAACATCTCTAGCCCATCCGCACGAGTCCGGATCTCTTGTCCGCACAAACTCTTCCTAGGTTTATCGCAGTCAAACATGGAGAACATCTTAACCTCTGCGTAGTATTATGCAGGGAAGATGTTCCCAATTCACGGGGGGTAGTGTGTTGTGGGTAGATGTGGACAGGAGATCTAGAGTCCATCCGAACACCTTTCTTGGATAGTCACCTTAGGAATGATAACTTAAATTGATAGGAACACACGCCGAGACCAGATATGCTCCTTACATGCACATCTTACTATGCATTGGGAACATCTCCCGTACTTGCAAGTTATTATTCACGGGAAATGTTCCCAATGCATGATAGATGTGCCTGTAAGGCGCCCATGTGTGAGGGGCACATCCTGTTCCACACACACAACACCATGTGTGATTTAATATGATAGGGCCACATCACATTTTGCATGCATGGGGTATTGATCGAAACATGAAGAAGACTTATTTGGGGCAGGGCTACAAATGGATGAAGACTTTATTGTATATATGTACCTAAATTTGAATAGGATCTTACCGGTCAAATATGTATAATGTTCTACTAGAATTTGGGTTGGAATCTCATATTGAATAGTATAAAGAAATTGAATTTAAGATTATTAAAATATTATATATTATTAATAAAATGAATAAAATTGATGTTAATATTCTATTGCATGAACAAATTGAATTGAAAATTATTTTTATGAAACTTATGAAGGGATGAGAGATCCATCATATGGATGGCCGAACCTTGCAGGTAGGTTGGGCGAAATTTCAAAAATTTCACTCTCTCCCATTTGGGAATTACATTCCCTGTTTTAGAAAATCTGCATTTTCAATGATCAATCTTGAACTAAGAATCGGACCAGATCTGAAACCAAAAGGTAGGAGAGGGAGATACCTGATACGAAGAAATAGTATCATCCAATGAAGGTGTTCACGCCCAAAAGAAATCTCCAAAGACTGCTCCCACTGAAGATGACACAGTGTAGGGTGGAGCAGAATCAACAGTGTTCTTCCCAAGAACCRAATCCTTCAGCAAGAATTTGATGGAGGCTGTGAGCACAACTTYAGATCAGCCTTTCTCCAAAGACTGATATCAAGAACCTTTCTTGATCGCTCATACAAGTATGGAGATTGAACTGGCAATTGGCGGCAACTGGAGGAGAACACAGGGAGAAGATGGCGCAGTCACACCATTGATGTCATCTCTCAGTGTGATATAAGATCTGATGATGTGTACTGAATGGTTCGCACCCTCCTCCTTTTATAGACTTAAAGAGATCAGCTCCTAATCCCATTAGGAGTTTCATTATTCAAATCCTTATTTGAATCTGAACTCTCTTTAAGTGATAAGGATAGAACCCTATCTTATCTGCATATTAGATCAACTCTCCTAATCTCATTAGGAGGTTTCAAAATCCAAATCTCTATTTGGATCTAGACTCTCTGAGTGGATAGGGATAACTCCCTATCCTATCCACTGATCCAAATCCCAGATCCACCCCTTCTTTAACTAATCAAATTAGACCAGTTCGAAATGGGCTTTAGGCCCAATAAGTCCATGTGCTCAGTAACCCTCCAAACTGTCACCCAGTTGGGCTTCTTTGTATGGCGTGAGACCCAAACATTGATCTACACATCAACCACATGGGTTCAGCCCAGCCTTTGTTACAAGGCTTGGCTGAATACACTATTATGAACAGTGAACCACTGAGCCCATCACCATGGGCTCTTAACGGGCCCAACACTTATACAAAGTGGTCTTTGGGCCAAGCCACCTTATAAAAACCCAGGGACTGTGGGCAGATGCAAGATTAGCCCATCAGGTATTACCCTCAATGGTCTTACACTTAACCTCTCAGCCCATAATGATCAAACACTGTCCGACAAGAGAGGACCTCTCCCTCGGCTACAAGGAACAGTGTTGC